GGAGGAAGAACTAATGTAATTCGATGGGCTCAGACTGCTGACCCTTATTCTCAGTTTTAACGATAAAAACCTTTAATCGTATGAATTTCTCTCCAGGTACAGCTATACCCTTAAGGTTTTACTATTCAATATTCTCACTTTTGTTATTTTCTAAATACACAGCTGTCTATTATTGCAGTAATACCCATGTTGGCTAAATGGACACTTAGGAGAGTGTTCTTTAATTTCCAGGTGCTGGTACTAGTTATTAATTTTTACTTTCACAGACAGGGATTAGATTGTGAGGCATGTGAAATGACCATGTCTGGATTCTGAAGTTTTCAATTATGACTTAAAGTGTGATCAGATTTACAAGGGTAACACAATTTACTTGAAAGGACAGAGAACTCTCATGCAAATCTCTAATATACGTTCATCAGTTCTACCCTAACATACTGTCAAATCTAATGTCTACCTTCACCCACTTTGTCTAGTACATACAAAGTAATGTTTAAAATCTCCTACCAAAACTATAATTTCATTGTTTTTTCTTATATTTCCTTTACTTTTTCATTTATATATATTTTTGCTTTATCTTAAGAATCATCCTGTATTTACCATAGAGAATGCATTTTCTAAACAAGAACTGTGTTTATTTGACTACTTATTTTTGAGTATTTAATGTTTTTTTGTTCACACTCAGCCAAATAAATCACTGCCCAGCCCTGAAGGCACACATGAAATGAATGGAAAGCATACACTGTATTTCTACTTGCTACATTTATTTTTGGTAACATAATAAAAGGAAAAAAGTATTAACAGCTAAAATGCACTGAACCCCAAATTAGTCAAATCACTTACAGTAGTGACATAGAGAACCGAAACAAGACAATGTTAACAGAAACAGCTGAGGAATAATTTTAGAATATCTTCAGTGCTTAAGACATTCTAAATCTAAATTTATAATAACTATTTATAGAAAACTTTACATTCTTGTTACTTTTAAGTGACTTGACGAACTGTTCAAACTGGATTTTAAAGCAGCGAAGAATCACCTTTTTATGATTGGAGACCCTTCTGAGGTTGTCCTCCTCGATGTGGGGGAGCTGCAGCAGGGGGGACCGGAACTGCTGGAGGCCCTGCACGGCCATCTGGGAAAGCTTCATGCAGTTCTCGAGGGACGCCAAAGTTGGAGCACGAAACTCCCTTTCTTAGAAAGAACAGGAAGAAAAAGGGAAAAAGGGCTGGACTTGTTACGTGTTCAAGAGCACACACTTCACCACAAAAACAAGATTCAGGTGAACATCCTCGGCGTCTCACGTATTTAAGATCATAGCGTTGGTTTTCCTTCCGAAGTTACTGGACATTAAAAATACACAAATGCACATCCTCCAGCAACAACCATTGCTTTAATAGGAAAACTCTCTGCGTCACCTCCCAAAACGTCAATTATCAGACAGTCATCAAGAAAATACAGACACAAGGCCACCCCAACCAAACCCCAACCACTTCCTTCCTCTCCAAGGGCCCCGTCCCATTACTGAGCACAAACCCCTCCTTCCTTCTGCCCTTCATGCCACGAAGACCACAGGTCAGATGAACCGCTATGTCACTCACAGAATTACTTCACACTCATTGTTAAAATACAGAGTAACCTCGCTCTAAAAATATTCAGAGGAAGGAAAAGGATATGTTGAATCTTTGCAAGCAAGAAATAATAAACAATAAAACTGAACAAATTAAATTAAAAAATAATAAGTTATGATACTTTACATAATATAAAATACAGGAAAGAAATCAAAACGAACAGACTGGGAAAGCTGATTCAACTTACAGACGGAATTACAGCAAGAACCCATAAATCTTAATACTACAAAGTATAATCTGCATAAGCTTGCAAGAAAAAGAAAATGTAATTAATCACATTTCCCCCTCACCTTCACGGCTCCGGGCCATTATTATCAGTTGGCAGATTACATTCACCATTTCTTGAAGGAGGGCAGGACATTTTTTCAGCATGAATTGCTGATCTGCAAAACAATACAACAGCTGAAACAAAATCATTCTACTTTTCTAGTTAAGACATCTTTACCACCTGCAGTCTAAGACTAATACAAAATTTAAACTGTCCCCCAAATGTTTCACATGACCTCAGAATTTTACAAGTTGATGCAAAACTTTCTCCCCAGCGGCACTGTGTCAACAATCAGTCAGAAAAGCCCAGCCCACTACAGGTTTCAAAGGCAAATTTTAGTATCATGGATTTGGGCTTTGTAAGTTAACTCCCTACACCTTTTTTGGGGAAACATTCTTAAACTTAATCCTAACCTTACTATATTTAAGAAATTTAAGAATTCTCTTTTTGTGCACCTAAGTTTCTGTAAGTGTAATTATGGCTAAGTCCAAAGTCTCAGAGTGAGAATGAGTCAACTAAGCGCAGAGCAGGAGAGAGGGCAGGGGAGGAGGGGGCAGCGGAGAGCCTCTGACGTGGACCGCACACCACAGTTAACCACCAAGACCAGCTGCTGGGGCGGCACTCCGCCACATTCGTCTGAGATTATGGGTAAAAAGGGAGACGCTCACTTCCGCGCGGAGCCATTAGGCACAGAGGTCCTAGCGGCCCTGCCACCCCGGTGACAGCGCCTCCCAGCACCCCTTCATCCCATCACAAGCACCCACCCCGTCACCAAGCACCCAGCACTGGCCAGCCTTCTTTTCAGAGGCATCTGACTGCGTTACTGTCTTAAAAGGGCGTCTCATTCAAAAAGAACATTTATTCCCTAGGGATATTTATTTTCTTTATAACTTCAATTGAAGTAATACAAATGAAGAAGAGATGACACTCAATTCATGACACCCCCGGACACCACTGCCCCAATCCAGCACTTCTCTCTTAAGCAGAATAGACGCCATCGAGTACCTACGAAGCTTGAAATGAAGAGCAACAGACACTACTAGCAGCCACTGCTGGATGCTGCTGCCAGTGGAGCAGCTGGAGGTATTTGTAGTGAAATCCATTTTTCTCACCCAAAAAGCTTACAAAATCCTCTTTTAAAAAGTCTTCAGAAATTATTGCATAATCCACCACTGACTAAACATCTCTCATACAGAGTAATCTCTCACCCTGAAAGGCTAAAGTTTAACATTCATCAAAACGTGACTTACTTAGACCTTCAAAATATTTGTGAAGTAATTATATTGCATATAGATTTCTTTTTAAAAGGTCCTTGAGCAATTACTTGATTTGAGCAAAAAAGAACTCAGAAACACTCCCTCATGAGGACTGATTAAACCCACTGCTGCATCACCACCGAAACCTTGCAGGCGTCAGAGTCACAAATACCTTCTTCAAGGGTCTCCGGGATTTTCATTCTTGCAAGATGACATAGTAGAAGAACTCTGGCCTTCAGGCTATACGGGCAGGTGAGTGGAGGCTCATTCTTCTTTAAGTTAATGCTTCCAATCTCTCTGATTAGCTAGAGTAAACAAAATAATCATTCAAAAAGTACAGTCCTGGAGATAATACTTAAATGCCTATGAAGAAATTTAGGAGATGGGCCTAACCTGAGGTATTAGAATATTATCTGTTGGTCTGCTTGTAGCATCTTTATTATACTGAGGATCAAATTCAGAGGCTCCAGCCAATACCATGATAAGACCTAAGAAAGAAAAGAAAAATGAAGGTAAATAAATACATTTGCTCACCTATTAATCTCCCCTCCTATGAGTCTTCATTAATCCTCAAGCCAGGCAGTTTTCCAATCAGGCAAAAGGCTAAAAATTATCTGAACTCCACTACTAGCAAGAATTTATCCATAAGAAAAGGAATGCCTCAGTTTTTCTTAAATGCTATCACAAGTGTATAGGCATATATATCAAATTAAGGGCCCCAAAGCCCTGGATGCATTACAGTCACTTAAATAGCACCTGTTTCTAGACTTATGTGTGTGTTCCACAGTATTTTCCATACAGCATTAAGCATTCCATGCGATGATAATAACTATCATGTAAAAAGGAGGGACACCATGATTAAGTAGGCTGAGAAATAAGGAGTTAAGACTTTTACATTTCTTCACAATTTCTCAGAGCCCTAAGTAAACTAAAATACACTGTAATTTACAAAAATTTTTATTATGGAACCTGAGAAGGTTTTATGGGAATAGTGTTCCTTGAAATACACACGATCACAGCCAGATGTGTCAGCATTACCCCTGTTAGCCTACACAAGCTCTTTAGTCACTGCTACCGTAGTCATCAGCCACCTGACAGCAGAATATACAAGCAGGGGACTCCCACATACAGACAGAGGTTACGTGCACAGACCCTGGAATTTTCACTTCCCAGCTAAACAACCTCAAACAATACTCTTCACCTCTCTATGGGCCTCAGTTTCCCGACACGTGCCTAACACACAACAAACACAGTAATGTGCGAGCTGTTACTATCACGACTGGCAACTGCTTTCATGACGACAACCGTGCCTACATCAGCTACACAAAATGGTGCCAAAGCTGAAGTAACCAAGGATATAAAACCAACCACAAGCTCAGTGGCGCTCTTCTGATAGAATTAGTTGTGTCAGGCTAAGTACCACGCTCAGAAATGAAACAATCAAGATCACGGATGCAAAAAACATTCAAACAGATAATAAACATCAAACTTTTCCATAAGTTTCAGCCCAGCCTAAGGAAAAGCAGCGTGTGTGCCTCAGGGAGAGTAACATTCATTCATTCTTCAAAGTGAGAGGTCTGCTCATTCCCTGGAAACGTAAGCTCCGGTCACAGTCATTTGACCCTGAGGTGGCTCCTTCCTATTCCCAAGAAAGTCAGTAAAATCGACTAATACAAAATACAGAAGAGCTCATTCGTTTCACAACAGAAATGCATTCTGCGTAAGGAGGGGAAGGGGGTGGTTATGACTTCTGCAGAGTGGTGACTCTCAAAAGCAACACTATTCCTATTTCAGGAATAAAAATTACAGTGTTAAGTTTTATGGGGTCAAAGTATTTAGGATGTTTTTTTCCATAAGAAATTCTGAAATAAGACTCTGGGGATGAAATATTCTGGCAGTTTTCTTTCAACACACCCAAGATCTATACTTATTTTACTGTCATCAAAACAAGACAATGTCCTTTAGGGCTCAGGAACCATGCTGGGTGTGACCTTGGCTCTCTCACTCACTGTATCCTCGGGCTCAGTTTCCTCATCTATAAAATGTGCTTAAAAAACAGCACTTACCTGTGAGGGCAAATACAAAGATTACATCAGTCAATACATGTGCAGTCTTCCCTAGCAATGCCTAGCACACAACAAATACTCAAGAAATGTTAGCTGGTAACATTACAAAATTAGCCCACATGGAACTTTACCATAAAATCTCTGAAAAATGTGTGTGTATATATTTGTATAGAGAGAGAGTGCTGAATAAAGGGGGCTAGAAATACAGATCAAAAAGTGTGACGAAGGATATTAGTATTTGCCTCCAGCTTTAGTTACATGAACTGAGTATCTATGAAACTGTAAAATGGAATTTCTTCAGTTGAATATATACCAACTCCACACCAATAACTAAAAAAAAAAATCTGATACCAGTTAGTTAAATTTACTTACGTTTCATATCCATATTTCGGGTTTTATAAACAAAATACGTATAAATTTGCGTTGTGCGTATTAGAATCTGGTCTCCACTATAGCGTATTGAGCGGTACCACCATGAGCCCTAAAAAACAAATAATAAAATTAACCAAGAAATAAAGCGTGAAAAAAATGTTCAAGTCAATGAAAATGTTTATGGTCAAGTTTTCTAAATTCATAAACCAATAAAAATACCTGAACTTTTGAATAAATGTCTTTGTTACATATGTTAAATGGTTTATTTAGCAAGTAGTTACACTGACTGATGCTTAAACACCAACCTACCTCACTACATGTATGTGACTAAAACAAGTAAGTTTCAACCAGAAATTCTTTGAAGACAAATAGGAATGAAACGACCCACTCCTTTAAGCAGTGAACTGGGCCCTGGTGCCCAGAATGTCTTTGATAAATATCTGGTAAGCAAGTGCAGGAGCAACTGCCAGCTGACACGCTGCTTTGATTCCCATCACTCCATGCAAGTGGGTCCTCACACAACAACCCTACGTAGAAGACAGGACCAGTTAGCTATCAGCCTCATCATCAATGAGAACGGGAGAAAGGGTGTGATCAGAACGGGCGCCGGCAGTCACAGAAGCGGTGAACAGTAAGTCATAATCTTTATGTTACCTCCATCTTAGTTCCATGCAGCTGTTTTTAAAAATGAGGCTGCTTTAGGATAAGGGCGGGGAAAAAAGAAAGGGGGCCTTACGATGAGCATGTATAGTGCGTGGGGGGCACGGGGAGGGCTGTGCAACAGAGAAGACAAGCAGTGATTTTACAGCATCTTACTACGCAGATGGACAGTGACTGTGAAGGGGTATGTGGGGGGGACTTGGTGAAGGGGAGAGCCTAGTAAACATAATGTTCTTCATGTAATTGTAGATTAATGATACCAAAAAAAAAAATGAGGCTGCTTTATATGCTATGCCCCTAATATATGGAGCAAGAAAGAGGCACAGGACAATATTATAGTAAGATCACAGTTCTTTTTAAATGTATGTGTATGCAGACACCTGAAGGGGAAACACTTTCTCCGACAGAGAAATGGAGTTGAAGGAAGTGGTAAATGAAAACTTTCATTTTAATCTCTAAATACATCTGCTTTTATCTCAGCTGTAGGTGCCTTTGGACTGGGAGGAGACATACTTCAACATACTCAACTGATGCAACCTTTAGAATAAAAGATTCTTAAACCTGAAGGATCAATGGATTATATTCCAACACAAATCACAACCTTGCAGGGAGACTCCAGAGCATGCCCCGATTCCCTTTCTAAGAATTCTGTTCATAAAAAGCAGAACTTACCACAACAACGGGAAGGATAACCATGAATGCCAATCCATATACAAGGAGAACCTAGAATTGGAAAGAGAAAAAATTGTGGCCTTCGCACGTATGTTCCAACAACATCCGTGAACGCTTACTTTGAGGCTTACAGGGGAGCACTATGAAAGGCCCTCCCGCATCATTTCACGTAATCCTTACTCTCAGACCCCAAAGGCAGGCATTGCTCTTCCTTTCCTGTGCAGACAGGGAACCTGCAGCATGTATAGGTCACACTGCTTGTCCCAGGTCACACAGCTGGCAGGTGACGGAGCCGGGACGAGAGTCCAGGCGTTCCGGCTCGGGACACATGCTCTACGCACGACTGTAAACTACCTTTTAGTTTGCTCTGTGGGTGACACGGGCAGAGCAGCTTCCTCAGTTATATTTTTCTTCCAGTCAGAGACTTATGCATCCACTCCTTAGCAAGTAGCTAGTGCCTTGGAAAAAAGTGACGGAGGCCTGATTCCTTTGCCTAAATATCAAGGGGCAACTTCATAATGTTCTGTTTGCAAGTAATTCCTGCCCATTGGTCTTACATTTTTCTCCTATTGCTTGATCCCAAATTTGGTAACTATCTCCCTCTTCTCTAGTATTCCCAGAGTACTGCTAAGCATAATGAACATGTTTATATACAATATATACAATAAGTACATATCCTCGAAGATAATGAATGTTAATCTGCCATAAAATAACATTAAACAGCCATTTTCAAAACAAATTACAGACTGTATGGATTTTTTTTTATTGCCTAAAAGATAGCTCCTAGATATTTTCAAAAAGGGTGAAGCACAGAATCATCTAGTCCTGTACAACAGGTTAAGGTAATTCCTTTTGTTTTGGGGTTCCAGCATCTATCATTGATTAAAGTCTGATTCCCTACTGACTTTTAGAGCACATTATGGAATAGATACCATTAGTGAGCATACATTAAAAATAATTTAGCCTGGGTAAATGTGATATGAAGGATAATTTAAATTTTTAGCACTACTTAGGATAAATGTAGACACCATAAAAAACAGTAGTTCCCCAACCAAGTGTAGGGACCTGATCTGAAACCGCTTCCAAAAGAAATCACCATAACTTGAAGCCTTTAAAATTACATTTAGAACACACTGCCCTAAACCAGCAACCTAATAGTGGAACCAATTTTCTCCATTATATAAAAACAGTTTTCACAATACAGAGTTAAATCAAAAACATCATAACAATATTTTCTTTGTAATAGCTCTCTTCATAGTACCGAGATATGTGAAACACATTATAAAGTGTCTTATTTAAATACACTCACCAAAATTGAATTTTTCTGGTCAACTATCCAAGCTGGCAAGGCAATTCCAAAGCTCGTGGCTAAAGTAGGAAGAATATTTTTGAAGAGTCTCCATTTCCAGATGTAATTATATCCCAAAATTCTGCCTCCCATCACTCCACCAAAAAAAGCTTTGAGAAAGATTATCTGATGTGTGTCCCCATCACACAAAAGTTAATGGATATGGTTTATATCTGAAACTTTAAATTTTCCTAGAAGGAAAAAAAACTCAATCCAAGTACATGAATTCCTTCTTCCACTATTTATCAAGTAGTAACTGAAAATAATGGTGACAATACTCTTCTCATCAACCAAACTAAGTTCTAGCTTTCAAACTAGCCTCTAGAAAGAAAAATAAAAGTAAAAATAAATTAAAGGGAACTCAATTTATTTCTCTGTGTAATTCCTTCTGGTTGTAAACTGCCTATCCACTGACAAAAAAAATAAAAACATTCTTTTCAATCTCGTTAGTATTTCAGTATACACCATATCCCCAGTATTTTTAAATCATCATTTACCACACCTTGAGGTCCGTCTGGATTCCCAAACTCCTCCCAGTTTTTCCGGGACTCTTCATCAGTTAAACTAGCATCAAGAGAACAAAATTGCAAAATTAGAAAGAGACATCTAATAAACAATATTCATATATACAAACTCCATTAACCAACCAATTCATTTCTTAAAGATATTATTTTCAGAGAACCAAGAAAAGCCTCTCTGAAATCAGAAAAAAGGAGGGAGGGGGAGAAAGGAATTCTGCATTACCAGAAAATGCAACCCACTGAGCCTTTATACACACTCCCGACTGGCCCATGGGTTCTCAGGTTTCACCAGCTCAAGCCGGACGGAACTTGGAAGGCTACTCTATTTTCAGAAGGCAGGGATTCTAGGTGACTCTTCTTCTTACATGTGCATGTATTTTCCAAAATCTCTTTAGTGAGCACATTTATATTTTGCTAATTATACATACCTATTTTTTAAATGTAAACTTAAAACATAATGAATAATAATAATCCCTCTAAAATTGGCCATCACATTCTCAAAGAAAAATATGAAGAACACCTGTTAAAACTCCACTACTGTGGAAAAGGTCATTTGCATTATGCTGAAATCACAATTTTCTCCCAAGACAACTGCCAACAGGATTCATAAAATACCTGCTACAGCAACATCTTCCTCACCCAGACAATATAAAAGTGACAGTGATCTTTTTAAACACCTGAGCTGGGAAGTGGGAGCTGTGGGGCAGAGGCTCAAGACACAGAATGAGAGTGGTTTTATTCCAGGTTCCAGTATAGATGTTAAAAAAAACATTGAAAGAAAATTACAACTCCTTCAGAAACTTTATCATGTTGTTAAGGAGACAGGATAGACACACCAAAAAAAAAAAAAAAACCACAATAATACAGTAAGGAAGGCATTCTTGCAGACCAACTGGCAAAGATTATATTATGTCCAAATCTAATTTTAGCCATATTTCCATTTCCTAGAACATATGTACTTAGGATACAATACAGCTTCTGTTCAATAAAGTGCCAAGTTGAAAGAGAGAATGCACAAGTACTCTTATAAAACAGCAAAAACTTTCAATGATTGAAAAATATTCTTAAACGTATTGATTTGTTTATTTATGAAAATAAGTACATCATAGTCCTTATATAACCGTCACTCTATTTACACTATTTGACCTAAGGCTACAGTTAAATACAGGAGCCAATGAAAAGCATCATTAAAGACTGCAAGTTAATAAGAAGAGGTGCTAAGATTCTTTTCTGCTAAGAGAGGGATGTTCCTCAAAAAATTTTGTCCTGTTTCCCTGTCCAGTTTGTCCAGACATCCAGAGCTTTAGTTATTATTTTTCTCAATACTCTGTCTTCTAATCAGATTCTGTTCCCCAAAAAACAATTATCTGTTCCCTTTTGGCTTCTGATGATCGCAGCACAATAAACTGTACTGTTTCCTATAAAGTGCCCTCAGATTCTGCAAAATAAAACACAGCTCACATCCTAGGAGCACTTGATTTTTCAACCTACACACACCCTGATTACATTTAACTGTACAAGTCATTGTACATTGTAATTTTCTTTCAGTGTTTTCTTAACATCTATATTGGAACATCATCCTTTTAACTGACTTGTACAACTGCTGTATGACAGGCACCATGCTGGATCCTCAAGCAAATCAAAGGAATCACCAACCCTTGAAAAGTCAGTGTGAGAACGCAACTGGATTTTTATATTTAGTAGTGTTTCAGTATACCATTCCTAAGACTTAAAGTACTTAAAAACTATGTGATTTTAGCATAATTCATGTATAACAGATTTAAACAGGACTAATGATGCTAACATAATTACTAAAAATCCAATGAGTATAAAGTTTCCTAAACATGATTACAGCTAACTTTGCAGCTGAATTACGAAACTAATAAAATCTGTGTCCCTTTTACCCTGGAAAAAAACGCACATTTACAAATACATATAAATTCTGTATACAATATCAGGGAATCTCAGATTATAAATCTTGGTCTAGAGAATGCTTTCACTAAATTCTATGTGAGTGATCCTGAATTCACTATGTAGAGCTAAGTTTCATACTCACGTGTAGGAACTCATGAAAACACACTTTTTAAAAATTAAAATAGCTTTAAGCTAACATCTATGCTGCCCACTTGTTACAAAGCAGCTTAAAGATGGGTTTTATACCTGAGAGCTAAATCTCAACTATATCCAAAAGAATGAACCAGAAAATTTAGTAGTTGGTCCAACTCCTCAAAAATAAGCAGACCTCCTTTCTTTAAGCTAGAATCTGTTATGGAAAAATCAGAATAACCCAGCTTGTTTATTACAATGGGAAAATATGAGAAAATATCCTAACAAAAGAAAATGCTTAAAAACTATAGATCAAAGCCTTTAACTGCATTTGAAAGACTGTCTGAGGTATACTTAGGCTGCTAGAGTTATACGTAAGATGGGACTCTCAATTCAATCACTAAGAACTTACATGTAGTAAAATGTACAATTTAACCTAATCTAGTTACACTTGCACAAGTTGTTAAGATCTCAAAGTTCTGCGTCCCATCATTTTACTTTCACATTTGTCTGACAGACCATCAATTATTTACATTTCACATATAAAACATTCTATACACTGATCATATAAGTGAGTCAAAACCAAAAGGTCATATATTATTCATATATTAGAATGGAGACCATACCAATAAAGAGTCAGATTTCCAGTAACCTGAGAACAAAATCATGAACTTGAAAATGTTACAATACCTGCAGACTGAGGAGCGAAAAACTGCTGCACCAAAAGCACTAAAATTAAAACTACTAATTAAAAAAGAATCTTGGTTATCTGACTTCCTCTGGGATCCTTTAATTCTTAAATTACCCGAAGACAGCAGCTAAAGCGCTGGGACACTGCCGTGAGCAGAGGGAACGCCTGAGGGGACACACGGGGAAGGGGGAAGGAGACGCCAAGGAAGGGCAGCACCTGCGAGGTCCACACCTCGGAAGCTCCCAGAGGCACCGCTCCGTCACAGAATCATACGCACATGGATGACAAGCAATCCTCAGCAAAGGGGCAGAGGAAGACATGGGCAATATACTCTCACTAAGCACAAAAATGAGTAAGACACTATTTCCCAAATTTCTGTCATTCATGTGCCACTTTCTGTTTGCTATTATATCTGAGTATTCTATTAAAATATTTTTAAATTAGCTCACAGAATTCTACGTTAAGTCCTCAAAAAACAGACATCTTGTCTGTATTTTACTCTTTAATCTAAGAGCTGTGCACTGATGTAGCTATTCTGAGTCCTGAAGAATCTTACTTAAATAGAAAACTATCTTTACCATTCTTAAAAAGATATAAGGGGCCCTACGATACTCACGCCGCATAAGCTTTTGCTATCCTCATGAACAGAACTTCATCACCTCCTTTATCCGGATGGTATTTAAGTGACAGCAAACGATACTGTTTCTTGATTTCTGCTACTGTTGCCCCCTAAAAAGGAAAGCTTTATTTCAGTAAAAATAAGCACAATGCAATAAAAACATAATCCATCCAATTTTGAACTTAAAATATGTACTATTCAATATTTTCAGGAAGAGGAAATCAAGTTTTCATTCTATAGATTTTTAATAAAAATATATTTGTTTTGCCCAATACCTACTATGTGCTGTGCAGTACACTAGGCACTGACGATTGAGGGTGAAACTATAAAAATGCTATATTTAAATAAAGGATAATGATGTTTAAATATCAAAGAATGATCATGGTAAATAAAGCCTGGCTAAAAAATCCCTCAAATCAAAGGTTAACTTCCTTTCTAAGAAATAATCTGAAGAATATGTGGTTTCATCTGCTTGTCAATATTTTAATACTAAGTAAACATTTATTAAGTTTACCTCAGTTGTTTTCTAATTAGACTCAGTTTCTATTATTATATTTTTCATATTGATTTTTTATGGCATTAAATCCCCAAAACATTTTAATCTTAAAAAAAATCTCTTGATGACCATGATCACAATAAGAAAAATCAGATGATATGCGATCAGCTAGAGACAAATACACTCCTACTCTGTATCATACGTATCTCTGTAAAGCCATCTACTGAGCACAGACTATAAGTAAAAGAAAGTGGTTTGGGGAAAAAAATGGAAAGAACATTAGATTCAGCTGGCTACTAAAGAGTCATGGACTGCATACAAGACACAAATTTTCCAGGCCTCATTTTCTCCACTGGAAGAAAAGGAGATGATCCCTAGCATTCATTTCATTTCTAACTTTCCACTGATATGCCTAAAAGACTAATTTTCTATTGGGATCAATCAAGTTCAAGCAAGAAATCACCTAAGAGGCACAGCCAAGGTCAACCTGAAGGACAGTGACACCTGCTCTCCACGAGACAGAGACGTACCACACGCCTGGGTGCCAACTGACACAGGCTTGTGAGACCTACAATGCCACTAACATAAACACACCTGCTGGTTTTAAACTTTGCATTAAACCAACCTTATGTATCTTTTAAAAATATACTAACTTCTCATCTCATCTTTAAATATTCTTACATTCTAGCAATTAATTCCAATCCAGTCCTTATAATAGGATGGCAATCAACATCTGTAGCTTAAAAATAATATATATATATACATTAGAATAATGGAATAGATATTTTAATAAAAAAATTTAACTGACCAAAGTCTGATTTCTTTAGGCCCAGTCCACTTTCTTTTGGGATGTGGACCTATATTATTTTCATGGGATCAATAAACTAGTGAGCATTACATAAAAATACTACTTACGGGATCCAAATTTAATACTTCATAAGGATTGTATTCTTGGTATTCTCGGTCTGTTTTGGAAACTTTGTATGCAAGGAATAAGAACAATGCCCACCCTGCAAGCAGAACTATTTTCCTGTTAAGGAAAAAGATAAGTGAAAATTGAATAAATACATCTGCATGGTTTCCCTTTAGGGGTCTAAAGACAATATACAAGATCGAG